GTCAGACCCTTACTGACTAAAAACCCCCCGTTCCTTCTCCTGCTCTAGACCGCGGTGCTTCAATACGCTTGCCCCGCAACCCTGGTTAAACATCAGCCCTATAGGGCCCTGTCTGTGGTGGTGGTATTGGCTCATGTAGGCGCGCGTGACATGATGGATATACCACCCACACGCACGAAGTGGTTCTTTCCCGGTTTTATAATCCGAACCGCTAAGGAGTGGAATTCTTTGCGGGAGTCTGTGTTCCCCGAAGGGTATAACCTGGGTGTCTTCAAGGTCCGAGTGAATAGGTTGATTATGGGCGCTCAATCGTAGGTGGCATCATAGCTTACCACCAGGCGTGATAGCGGCTAAATGCCTGCTAATTATGAAAAAGAAAGAAAAAGCTCAGGAGCAGACCCAGTGTTTGATGAGAAATATGACATATGTTATGTAGCACATACACCCATTTTTTATGTGATAGGACAGCAAACCAGCCTACGGGATTAACCTGATGGTAAGCAATCAACGCCGCCCATGAACACTCGCAACAACAGAGGAGTTACGAATTGGTCACAGACTGTTTGGGGATTAGAGATTTGGAGATTTTGGTATTGGGCCTCCAGTAATCTCACTCACACGGCGCAACACAACGCTGTAATTGTTTCACGCCAGTTTTCTGTGAGGCCGTGGTATCAATCCGGTCGAGCCGAAGCATGCGCAGCAAGCAAGGCTCTCTCACACTTTATCTTCGACATATTAATAAAAATAAATCAGTAAAAAATCCCCTTTATTTAATAATTACAGTAACAGATAATCATTCGTACATACATAATTTGGACATCGATTATAATTTTATTTGTTTATGCATAGATGATATTTCAACAATTATTATAATTATTTTGACAGTCAACTGTGAGAGACACAAAACTTCTGAAAAAGACATCATGTAACCAATTATGATCTTTATTTTACAGGCAAAAAGACATACATTACATAGGAAAGAAAATTTTGAGTTTTTCAGAATCTGCATTACAACTATGGAGTTTGAATGTTTAATTCAAAAGTTTACGCCGCAAGGTTTCAATACAAACATTCAAAATCAAAAATCACAGAAACTACTAAACCGATTTTGGTGCAATTTGGTACTTGTAAGTTGTAACACAATATATCAAAGTCTTAAAAGTTTGAAAATATTGTTTAAAACAATTTATTAATATGATAGGTCGGCAAACGGGCAGGCGGATTACCTGATGGTAAGCAATCAGCGCCGCTCATGGAGTCTCGCAACAACGGAGATTGGTGATTTAGGGATTAGGAGGGGAATGATGTAGCAGTTATTCGCGATTTGTTATATTAGTATGAAAACTTTCCCTCATCCTCACACAAATTGCGTATGAGACAAAGTTTCATCAAAATCCGTTCAGTTATACCATGATTTTGAGCTTGAAATTTTGTATCGATACCCGTGAACGGTACGCTCTTGAATGAAACCTATCTGACTTACTGCCTTACGGTGGAACAACAGTGTGAAACTTATAAACATTAATTATTATTATTCTACATACGGCCACACATGAATATTATATGAAAACCAGTACAAAATGACCATTGATCACATCAAGCGAGACCAAGTTACGCTGGATTTTATATAGGTCAATGTGTAGCCGCATTATGTATATACTGAATACCAGCGATGTAATTCAAATACTATAGAAAAATCTACGAAACATAAATATATGAAACATAAGAAAATATATTTCTTTATCTTACTACCACATCGCAATGTTGTGTTTTTGGTAACAATTTCTGTATCTGAAGATAGGAGGCTGGATATGCTATGTAAGATTTTTCGTTTTTCAACAGTATCATTTTGTTTGGAAAAAGAAACCTAAGCAAAAAAAACCTCTGTCGAAAAAATGAGTGAAAGAGACATGACATAATATCTGACGTTAATAATTCTGTAAAAGTGCACACGTGCAAGAGAGACAGCAAGATATCGTAACTATAATTAAAAAATATAATAAATAATTATCTCATTTTACATCCTCTAAGGGCTAACGATTTTTTTAACTTGAAACCTAACAATAAGTTTCATACTTTTTTTTCAAAAATGGAACGTCTATTGGTCGGTCGTTTGCTATTGGCTGACAAGAAGTGAGATCCACACTAGTGCCATCTAGTGAGCATAATATAGAACGATAAACGGTACTGTTCTGTACACAAAATATTGGTAATAAAGAAAGATCTATGAATGTATAGGATTTAAGTCTCTTTCTAATCGTCTATTTTTGATATTATAATTATTATAAAAAAAGAGTAACCATGGAGTTTCTTGCTCGTTTTTCTCCATTCGATCTACGAATTTGGAACGAGCACCTAGCTTCACTGACAAACAGACTGACAGACTACAATTCTATTTTGACGTTTCAAAAGTACCTATTTATGTTTCAGTTGGAATGATTTTGACTTTGTCTTTAGTAAAAGCCTTACATCGCCGATAATTCTCCCTTAACCTAAGTATCACATAAAAATGAACCAATAAACTAGTTACCGCTTAAAATAAATTCATTATATTAATAATTTTAAGGCTGATTTTTCAATAGTCAGAAAAATATTATCTGAAGAATAAAATTGTTGCTGTCACTGTCTTACACAAACATTCTGACGCGACAGCATGATAATTATTCCCCAGATAACTTTTATCTAACCATTGAAAAATCAGCCCTTAGTGTATAAAATTAAAACCTTTTATTTGCAATTAAAAATATAGGTAACAATAATGTATTCTGTCTTTAGAATCGGCAATTTAACTTTGCTCACCTAGCTGACATCGCCCGGGTAAATAAAAACTTTTTTATGGCATAAGTCGGCAAACGGGCATACGGATTACCTGATGGTAAGCAATCAGCGCCTCCCATGGGCACCAGCAACACCAAAAGAGTTACGAGTGCGTTGCCGGCCTTTTAGGGATAAAGGTTTCGGATATTTAACGCATCCAGTGCCCCCGACGCGTATGTGCACAGGTGCGTCGAGGGCACACAGAGTAGCGTAAGGAAACGCACATACGCGTCGAGGGCACTGGATGTGTTAAGGATTGGGAAGAAATGGAGGAGGGAGGAGGTTGGCCTGATTCACCCATACGGCGAAACACAACGTTGTGGTTGTTTCACGCCGGCTTTCTATGAAGCCGTGGTATCACTCCGGTCGAGCCGACCCATTCGTTCCGAAGTATGGCTCTTCCACACTTTTGGCGGCCTCGGCCTGGATCAGGAGAAGGATCTGTATGGGGAGGGGGTAGTAAGAGTCTGACACTCCGTCTCACTTTACTTTGGGTGAGAAAGCCCATTTGATAGTTGAAAAAACTGAAATTAGGAAACCAAAAAAGTCCCCTAGATGAACAAAGTTGAATAAACCGTTTAAAATATAAGTATAAGTAAGCGAGTCTGCTTATACTATGTCTCGAGTAAGTATCATTTTGACAGAACATAAAATTCTTAACAAAACTACTTGGACTCAAAAATAATTGGTAAATTACTCTCGAGGTGTATCCGAATCGACTAAGTTTTATATCACGTCTTCATTTATTGGAAAATAGAAATAAACATAGAATTTAACCAAAAATATAACATAATATAATAACAATTACATGCATCCAGACCATAGCATCTTTACAGCGGTTTTTGCAAATGACAGAGGGCGCTTCTATCGCTTAAAGTCTTAGTATAGCAACTGTTATTGTTTACAACAGAGTATACATGACTATTTGATTTTAGCGCCATCTAACGGTGATTCAAAGTTTTATATCTGTCGAATTTCATGCTTAGATAGATTAATGATCAAATAAAAAGTGCAAAGATCTGCAATAATTCATTAAAAGAAATGAAATAAGTTAATACATTTATAATTCAATATATTTGTGAAACGATGTCAGAACAAAAAAAAAATACTTTGGTCGACGCGTTCTCTTCTTTTATTATTGCAATTTTTACTTTGTGAATGTTATTTTAATTACAACTAAAACTAAAATGTACACCAGAACCCCCCGGAAAATCAACCATATCTCACTAAAACATTTCAAATGCAATATTTGTGATAAAAATATTAAAATTCATTAAACAATTACAATTTTCTAATATAGAAATGACCTGTGCTATAACCAACAAAAAAAAAAATTGATGATAAAACTCTCAATAGTTAAAATAGATTTTATTTTGATATAAATAAGAGTGAACATGCATCATACACCTCTTGATTTAGAAAAATATGATTTAAAGTAGTAAATTACTTGATAGAATCGCATAACCCTCTTAAGAATCCGGTCTTGCTCGAAACTATTCGGGTCAGCCCGAAATTCTACAAACTTCGTATTCCTTTTTTTCAAAATAATACCTTCTAAAACAAGAGATGATATGCTGTGATAATAAAGAATTGTTTAATTGCACAATTTTAAATAAACATTTGAATTATATATATCTGAACTGTCCTGTACAAACATACATACATACAAGTTTTATAGATACGCTCCGCAGACAATGCAACTAACAACGCTGAATGCAATTCATATGCATTTCAAGATGGCCAAACGTTTGCTTTTTTGACAAATAAATATAAGCCTCGTTGTCATTTGAATAAGTCGTGCATTCCTCTACCATGAAAACCCCTTATATTTCAATAAATTAAAGTACATATTTATATAGGATAATATTAAAAAAAAAACAATTTCATTTTTTACTACAAATTAAAATTACTTGGACGAAAATGAAAAACCTTTTAACAGATATTTAATTCAATAACAAACTTACTATTCTGAACTTTCTAAGGGCTCCTTTCATGTTCGAAACTGTTCGAGCTTGTCCGAAACACTTGATAACAATTCCTCTTTTTAGTTTGTATGTTACTTTGTCTGCGGACCGTTTAAAAACATTATAGTATATTTTATTATTACATTAGTGCCTTTAAAGTAGCAGGAGATGAGACGGGATGGTTTTTCGTCAGATCAGATATGAGTCTGACCCCTTCCCCCCCCCCCCCCCCGCCTGATCCAGGGCAGAAGGAGTCATTTGATGATATACCCACCCACAAAAAAAAACAGCCCTAAGGCAGTGATGACGTAATAGAATACACTACAACATACAATGTTATTATATTTATGTAAATACAATGGTTAACTAATTATTACAAGCTTACGTGAACAGCTTGTCAACTCTGACATAATTATTATCCCTTACACCTAGTAGTTTTCAGCTTTTGTTACCTGTAATAGATATAAAATATTATTATTAATATAATTGCCAAAAATAGAGAAGAAGAACCCCCTTTCTTCCTCTTTGGTCGAGGTTGTGGGGACAAGCGCTATAATTAACTGTAGCCCAGCCCGGTTCAGGAAGTAAGAATCTGACACTCCCCCTGGCTTTACCGAAAAAGGTAGAAGAAGTCTTTTAATATATAATGAAGTATTTTTTCATGTGATAAGTCGACACCAAACTTTAAACAGAGTAACCATGGAGTTTCTTGCTCGTATTTCTCTATCGGAATCTACACTTTGGAACGAGCTAATAGCTCCACTAAGAGGACCGAGAGACTGACACTATATCTTCAAAATTTTGTTTGACGTTCAAAAGTGCCTGTAAAGGTCTAATTGGAATAAATGATATTTGACTTTGACTTTGACATTGACATACGAGCAGACGGATTACGTAATGGTAAGTAATCAGCGCCGCCTATGGACACCCACAACATCAGAGGAATTACGAGTCCGACTTTTTGAGGATTTAGGGGTTGGTGAGGGGAGGGATTGGACCTCCAGTAACCTCGCCCACACGGCAAAACACAACGCTGTAGTTGTTCCACGCCGGTTTTCCGTGGTATCACTCGACACATTCGTGCCGAAGCATAAATGACTATTCTACATTAACACGTTAACCGCCACGTAGGTCACCGGTGACCTACGCTAGCGGAGGATTAGCCTTCAATAGTTTTCTGTCGGCAGTCAAAGGCTTAATATTCAGATAATAAAACTCACGTTACGTGTGCCTGCGTTGCCCCCGTGACGCGATCCTGTACGCTATGAATGGCCACACGGCGAGCAGAATGAGGGTTGGGGCGCTCAGCTCCTGCCAAGGCCATCGCCAGCCGCGGGATACTTGCTGTAAGGGATTCAATATAATTTATTAGGCAGACAGATTACCTGATGGTAAGTAAACAGAGCCGCAGAGGTAAAGGCTTTTTGACACCCGTAATACCATAGGAATTACTGCAAATACGTTGCTGGCCTCTTGTGGGTTATAAGAGACTAGCTACTCTCGCGCGGTTTCACCCGCTGCTCGGCTCCATTTAATAGTAGCGTGATGTTTTATAGCCTTTAGCACTCAGGAACATTGTAGCTATCTATCAGTGAAAGAATTTTAGCAATCCAATCAGCGGTTCCAAAGATACGAACAGACTTACCTACATACAAACTTAGAAATTTTACCTCTTTATAATATTAGTATAGATTTAAGGATAAGGGATTTGAATATTTAGGATGGAGGGGGGAGGATTGGGCCTGCGGTAACCTCAACCACATGCCCCTCCCCTCTCCACATCCTCAATTGTCAAATCAAGAATTAGAGTAGGATGGGGTAGGGTAGGGTAGGATAGGAAAGGTAGGTAAGGTACCGTAGGTAGTGTAGGGTAGGTAGAGCAGGGTAGGTAGAGTAGCATAGGTACTGTAGGGTAAGGTAGGGTAGATAAGGGCAGGTAGAGTAGGATAGATAAGGTAGAGTAGGGTGAGAACTGTAGGTAAGTAACTAGGTTGGGTAGTGTAGAGTATTGACGGGAGCGAAGCCGCGGGTAAGAGCTAGTAATTAATATATTAAAATTCAATATTGCATGACTCACGTCGAGTATCCTGCGGTCTCCCTCGACGGCCTTCCTGAGCGCTGCCACGTCAGCCTCGAGCCGCGCCAGCGTACCCGGCAACTGTTCCAGTACTTTTAAATCTGGAAGAAAACAAATTTTATTAAAACTATTTATTAATTTATTTAATACTTGCTACTCTCTCCGCTGCTCGGCTCCTACAGATCGTAGCGTGATGTTATATAGCCTAAAGACTTTGTCCATAAATGTACTAACAAACAATACAATTCTCCATTGTCGATTTTGTGTGGATTCTTCACGCCCGAAAAACTGAGGCACCAGCTTTGACAACTGTCACTTAATGTTTTCTAGTTTCTACTTCTTGTTTCTTTTTGTCCCTTTTTGAGCTTTGAGCTGGTTTAATATTTAATACTTGTGTTACGTTACTATCTAGATCAAAACCTTCAGTTTTTAAGCTAATAATATTTGATTGTAATGTTTTGTGCATGAAATAAATAAATAAATGAAATAAAAATAAATTCGAACCAGCAGTTCCTGAGATTAGCACGTCAAACAAACAAAGTGATCAGTTTTATAATATTTTAATATTAATAATTAATTAATATAGATATAACCGTTACGTACAAATAAAAATTCTCAAATTTTGAGAGGAACAAAACAATCGTGTGTTCTTATTTTTAATTTAGAATAATAATTATTAATAATATCTATATGAATGTTACTATATCAGTTATTTATGAGATCATTATATATTTGGCATGCATAATGACTGCACGGCTGCGGCGCAATGTGTCGCGGGTACGATTCCCGCACGGAACAATTTTTTGTGTGATCCACAAATTGTTGTTCCGGGTCTGGGCGTGATGTGTATGTGAAATTGTAGTATGTTTGTAAACGCACCCACGACACAGGAGAAAATCCTAGTGTGGGGCAACGTTAAGAAAAATAGGATTCAGGAGTGTAACTTACGTGTGAGCTGTGATGTGATTTGATGAGCATGTCCGTTGCTGAGTCTCTGTGCCGTTTGACGCTGTGGAGGAGGCGCGGGTGGGGCCGACTCGGAATCACTCTAAAATAGAAACAAATAAAAAGAGATATAAATACACTCTATTCGAGCAATTAACAGCCAAAATAAATGAGTTCTCAATCCAATTTTTTTGAATTAAGATACTATCAGAGATAGAATTTTTACATTATTATATAATATGAAATATTTTGTAGCTTATGATAAAATTCTACCATTTATCTAAAACAGAAATATTCTTACGACTCAGTAACGACGACGTTTTACAGACATGCTCGATGAATTTCGAGCCGTAACGGAGCTCGTATGAGTTGCAAGAATAAGCAACATAAATATGGTAACATTGATTACATATAGAAGTTATCTTATATAAAACTATGAACATATAATACATAACTTACATGTACTTATATTATTAATTTGAGTATTATCACACTTACATTGATTCTCAAAATATCAGTAGTGATTTTTCCCTCGTTTTTACCTCCAGAAATTGCCAGTGTGATTAGACCCAAGAGAATCATAATAAATATTTAAGTAACCCTAATTCTCTATCTACTAACATTTATAAGTATTTTGTATATAAAATATGATATAATATTTAATTATATATTTTTATTATAACATGCGTTCGGGCTTGGGCAAAAGGCGTACTACTGTAACTGGTGTCCATGGTCGATCCAGACAACGCCCTGTGTTTTATCACTGAGTCTGGAGTCAGGATATCATTAGGATTATATGAAAAATAATTAGCAAAAATAATTGCAATTGGCAGTTTTACCGATATAGAAATAAGGTGTGCGAAAAAAGGTTCAGTTGTCTTTAATTAATTCAGTGCTTTCTTTTAATAAAAAATAAACAACTTATTTATTCATGAGCAGCGTGCTTGTTGCGTCACGTTGAAGTGTGAGTAAGTATATGTTGAAGTATAAGAGACATACTAAATAAATTTAGTATGTCTCAAGATATTTAGGTACTGTTCATAATATTTAGCGTTAAGTTAGAAAATAAGTATAAATATTTTTATGCCACCATACGCATATCAACAAGATTGACCTAAGAATTAATGATATGGTTACCATGGTAACACTGTCTATATAGCTATGGTCTATCGATATAGAAATAGTGCCATAGTATAGTAATTTCACTAAAATATTGTTTTTTTTTCAGGCATATTATGACGACTGTGATGGGTTTATAACAAGACATTCTGTATGTTTGAAAAAATACTTTACAAAACATTCAGGTAACCTAAGCCCTCCTTCTAATCCGGCATTAGAAAAAAATTTGACCCTCCAACATTACAGGGCATTGTCTGGACTTCATTAGAAGGACCATTATAATATAGGTATACCACCAATGAAGGAAGCACACGACGTCTTTTTAGAACAGTTTTAATTAAAATCCATTAAAAAGAAAGGTTAAAAATGGATCGAAGGTCCACAGAAAAATGGAAATGGACTGGTTATTAGTGACCATAATAAAGTACCGAATTAAATATATTAAACACATGACTGTACTCATGATAAACTAATATTATAAAGAGGTAAAATTTAAAAGTTTGTATGTAGGGGGTAATCTTTGGAACCGCTGGTCGGATTGCCAAAATTCTTTCACTGATAGATAGCTACAATGATGAGTGCTATTATAGGCTATAAAACATCACGCTACGATTAAATGGAGCAGCTAGTGAAACAACGCGAGATTAGCTAGTTAGTTTTATTTTTATTACTATAGCAAAATTACTGTGCAAAGTTCAAACGAGGTCGCGCGGGGCCTCGCCGCTAACAGCTGATCGGGCGACGCAAGGCGGGTAGTAATAATAATAAAACTAATGAGTAAGTATAGAAAAAAGTTTCTTTGGGAAACTTATTTGCTATCATAAGAACAATCATATGTTAAAATACCAGTCACCCTATGTAAGAGACACAAATATAAAAAAGGCGTCATATACGACCTTGAAAAAGAAAATAAAAAACACCAAACAAAACCGAATGCTAAAAGCGTCACAGATATCCAACGTTACAGATCTATGGACCTTAGCGTTTTGCCCAGAAGTGGTATTGGGTCGACGGTTGGTCGTGGTCGGTTGGTTCTGACCCGTCTGACCACCATTCTGACCCGTCTGACCACCAGTCTGATCATCTGTCTCTTGGAACATTAGATGCAAACGTTGCACCTCGTCCCACGCCACGTTGGATCTTCTAACCTTATTTGGGTTCCCAATTACCTGTGCATGGAAACCCTAGTTTACAATTGTCTTTCTGTAGGGTAAAAAGACCCCATTCGAAAGTAAAAGTAAATAATATTTTCATCGATATCCAACCGGCATGAGTAGGTACATCACTATGCCAGTACTGAATTATGAAATTGATTAAAAAAAGGTAACCATGGAGTTTCTTGCTCGTTCTTCTCCATTGGACACACACTTTGGAACGAGCAAATAGCTTCACTTTCAGCTTTCGGAACGAGGACCGATGGACAGACTGACACATAAAGTTAAACTTTTTGATATTTGTTTTTTTGCTTGACGTTCAAAAGTGCCTGTAGCGGTCTATTTGAAAGAATGATTGACTGATTTGACTTTGACTTAGTATTTTTTGTCAACATATTTAATAAGACTTGGTTGAGTCGACATATATCTGCGATATTTAGCGCTTGATGGGAATTTTATGTCCATCCGTCTTGGAGTTTTGTGGTTTAATATTGCTATTTATTTTTATGAATGAAGGCAGGTGACAATATTATATTTTTTACAGATTGCTATCTTTACAATAATACTATTAAACTACACTGTTATTATCCCAGTACACATCAAAAAATATCAAAAGAACAAACAAGCTATGGATGCAAATGCTAATATTTGAGCGGTTCTGAAAAGGCAGAGTATTTTACAACTTATGTTTTTGAAAATAACTGATTATATTATGTTAAAACAGCTAATAGACCAGAAGAATATCACACCAAAGTTGTCCTTACAAGTTAGAAATAAAAAATATCATAATCTGTCCCAAATCCTCCCCAGAATCGGTTTTGCCCTAACTCTAGTCTTTTACTGACCAAATCCTTCCCAGAACCGCTTGAAGCTTTTACCCCCCATAGCAAAAGAACCCTAGTCTTTTACTAAAGCACCCTAGTCTTTTACTGAGAAAATCCTTCCCAGAACCGCTTGAAGCTTTCGCCCCCTATAGCAAAAGAGCCCCAGTCTTTTACTAAAGCACCTTAGTCTTTCACTGACCAAATCCTTCCCAGAACCGCTTGAAACTATTGGCCCCCATAGCAAAATAACCCTAGTCTTTTACTGACCAAATACTCCCCAGAACCGCTGGAAGCTTTTGACTCCATAGCAAAAGTACTCTAGTCTTTTACTGACTTAATCCTTCCCAGAACCGCTGGAAGCTTTTGACCCCATAGCAAAATAACCCTAGTCTTTTACTGACCAAATACTCCCCAGAACCGCTGGAAGCTTTTGAATCCATAGCAAAAGTACCCTAGTCTTTTACTGACTAAATCCTTCCCAGAACCGCTTGAAACTATTGCCCCCCATAGCAAAAGAACCCTAGCCTTTTACTGACCAAATACTCCCCAGAACCGCTGGAAGCTTTTGACTCTATAGCAAAAGCACCCTAGTCTTTTACTGAACAAATCCTTCTTAGAACCGCTTGAAACTATTGCCCCCATAGCAAAATAACACTAGTCTTTTACTGAGCAAATCCTTCCCAGAACCGCTTGAAACTATTGCCCCCCATAGCAAAAGAACCCTAGTCTTTTACTAAAGCACCCTAGTCTTTCACTGAACAAATCGTTCTCAGAACCGATTGAAGCTTTCGCCCCCTATAGCAAAAGAATCCTAGTCTTTTACTGACAAAATCCTTCCCAGAACCGCTTGAAGCTTTTACCCCCCATAGCAAAAGAACCCTAGTCTTTTACTAAAGCACCCTAGTCTTTTACTGAACAAATCGTTCTCAGAACCGATTGAAGCTTTCGCCCCCTATAGCAAAAGAATCCTAGTCTTTTACTGACAAAATCCTTCCCAGAACCGCTTAAAGCTTTCGACCCCCATAGCAAAAGAATCCTAGTCTTTTACTGACAAAATCCTTCCCAGAACCGCTAGAAGTATTTGCCCCCCATAGCAAAAGAGCCCCAGTCTTTTACTAAAGCACCCTAGTCTTTTACTGACCAAATCCTCCCTAGAACCGCTGGAAGCTTTTGACCCCATAGCAAAAGACCCGAGTCTTTTACTGAGCAAATCCTTCCCAGAACCTCTAGATGCTTTTGACTCCATAGCAAAAGGACCCTAGTCTTTTACAGACTAAATCCTTTCCAGAACCGCTAGAAGCATTTGCCCCCCTATAGCAAAAGCACCCTAGTCTTTTACTGAACAAATCCTTCTTAGAACCGCTTGAAACTATTGCCCCCATAGCAAAATAACACTAGTCTTTTACTGAGCAAATCCTTCCCAGAACCGCTTGAAACTATTGCCCCCCATAGCAAAAGAACCCTAGTCTTTTACTAAAGCACCCTAGTCTTTCACTGAACAAATCGTTCTCAGAACCGATTGAAGCTTTCGCCCCCTATAGCAAAAGAATCCTAGTCTTTTACTGACAAAATCCTTCCCAGAACCGCTTGAAGCTTTTACCCCCCATAGCAAAAGAACCCTAGTCTTTTACTAAAGCACCCTAGTCTTTTACTGAACAAATCGTTCTCAGAACCGATTGAAGCTTTCGCCCCCTATAGCAAAAGAATCCTAGTCTTTTACTGACAAAATCCTTCCCAGAACCGCTTAAAGCTTTCGACCCCCATAGCAAAAGAATCCTAGTCTTTTACTGACAAAATCCTTCCCAGAACCGCTAGAAGTATTTGCCCCCCATAGCAAAAGAGCCCCAGTCTTTTACTAAAGCACCCTAGTCTTTTACTGACCAAATCCTCCCTAGAACCGCTGGAAGCTTTTGACCCCATAGCAAAAGACCCGAGTCTTTTACTGAGCAAATCCTTCCCAGAACCTCTAGATGCTTTTGACTCCATAGCAAAAGGACCCTAGTCTTTTACAGACTAAATCCTTTCCAGAACCGCTAGAAGCATTTGCCCCCCTATAGCAAAAGCACCCTAGTCTTTTACTGAACAAATCCTTCTTAGAACCGCTTGAAACTATTGCCCCCATAGCAAAATAACACTAGTCTTTTACTGAGCAAATCCTTCCCAGAACCGCTTGAAACTATTGCCCCCCATAGCAAAAGAACCCTAGTCTTTTACTAAAGCACCCTAGTCTTTCACTGAACAAATCGTTCTCAGAACCGATTGAAGCTTTCGCCCCCTATAGCAAAAGAATCCTAGTCTTTTACTGACAAAATCCTTCCCAGAACCGCTTGAAGCTTTTACCCCCCATAGCAAAAGAACCCTAGTCTTTTACTAAAGCACCCTAGTCTTTTACTGAACAAATCGTTCTCAGAACCGATTGAAGCTTTCGCCCCCTATAGCAAAAGAATCCTAGTCTTTTACTGACAAAATCCTTCCCAGAACCGCTTGAAGCTTTCGACCCCCATAGCAAAAGAATCCTAGTCTTTTACTGACAAAATCCTTCCCAGAACCGCTAGAAGTATTTGCCCCCCATAGCAAAAGAGCCCCAGTCTTTTACTAAAGCACCCTAGTCTTTTACTGACCAAATCCTCCCTAGAACCGCTGGAAGCTTTTGACCCCATAGCAAAAGACCCGAGTCTTTTACTGAGCAAATCCTTCCCAGAACCGCTAGATGCTTTTGACTCCATAGCAAAAGGACCCTAGTCTTTTACAGACTAAATCCTTTCCAGAACCGCTAGAAGCATTTGCCCCCCTATAGCAAAAGAACCCTAGCCTTTTACTGACCAAATCCTTCCCAGAACCGCTTGAAGATTTTGTCCCCATAGCAAAAAGACCCTAGTCTTTTACTGAGCAAATCCTTCCCAGAACTGCTGGAAGCTTTTGACTCCATAGCAAAAAGACTCTTTTACTGAGCAAATCCTTCCCAGAACCGCTTGAAGATTTTGTCCCCATAGCAAAAAGACCCTAGTCTTTTACGGACCAAATCCTTCCCAGAACCGCTTGAAGATTTTGTCCCCATAGCAAAATACCCTAGTCTTTTACTGAGCAAATCCTTCCCAGAACCGCTTGAAGATTTTGTCCCCATAGCAAAAAGACCCTAGTCTTTTACGGACCAAATCCTTCCCAGAACCGCTTGAAGATTTTGTCCCCATAGCAAAATACCCTAGTCTTTTACTGAGCAAATCCTTCCAAGAACCGCTAGAAGCTTTTACCCCCCCCCCCCCCCCCCCCCCCCCCCCCCCCCCCCCCCCCCCCCCCATAGCAAATAGACCCTAGTCTTTTACTAACCGAATGCTCCCCAGAATCGCTAGAAGCTTTTGCCCTCCATAACAAAAAAACCCTAGTCTTTTACTGAGCAAATCCTTCACAGAAACCTGTAGACCCCCACAAATACCCCCCATTAGTACCATCCACCGTATAATTAGTCACATGTATACGTACTATACTAACATCGACAGTATCTATGTATTCGTCTTCGGAGTCGTGCCGTTGTCGTACGGGCGTCGGAGACTCGCCGCGAGGTGAGGAGGCGCCTGATACTGTGGGAGGAAGACAGAAATAGTCATTTTGAGACGTTAGACAGTATTAAGCTTTAATCTAGTGTGGATAAGGTTTATTTTGCATTATAAAGGACTAATGAGAGCATTATAAAATAGAGGTATTTTTTAAAATTTTGGGAGGTAATTTTAAGTTTAATTTGGTAGGGATAAGGTTTATTTTGCTTTGGAAATGAATTTAGAATTAGTATTTTTGTAAGTTTGGGAGGTATTGAACTAATTGTTTGAGGTATAAGGCTTTATTTTCCTTCAAATAGCAAACCCTACGGCTGACAGTGGCGAACTTCATGAGAGTAAATGGTCGTGAGCCGAAATGCTAGTAAATGGTGTGGTTTTTGCAAACACAACATTATCTTATTATAATAGAACGTGAGTTTATTTTACAAACCTCGACTTCGACATTATTTTCACATTTTCATTATTAACTCAGGATTCGGAAATCGATCTCATGTGAGAACATATATCAATTCTTAATAAGTAATTGCATTCAATTTTCTCAATGCCATCCTTTTCCTTCGTTCTCCATCTTCCTATCACAATCAGTTCAGAATTTAAGGAGTACTCATGTATAATATAACAGCTTCCGCCCGCGGATTTGCCCGCGTGGTATGTTGATAAAAAGTAGCCTATGTCCTATTTTTATGCCAATTTTCATCTCTATCCGTCCAGCAATTTTGGTAAGATTGAGTCACAAACAACCAAACATCGTAACTTTGGTATTTATAATATTAGTAAGAAGTAAGATGAAAAATCATACTCACACACAGGCGAGTTCTCTCCAGATCGAACCCTCGCCAGGATGTCTCCGGCCACCAGCTCCAGATCAGCATTATCCTCGTCAACCGACAGGAATGACGCGACATCAGAGTTATATGACATCGTTTCCACTATCTGTGTAAAAAATAAACGTTTATATTAGAAAATATCCATACTAACTGTACAAGAAGTTACCATTTTCGCGTTTCTTATGACTGAATGATACACTTTATAGTGTATATGATGGGATGGGAATAAAAATCCATTTTTTATGTCATAGGTCGGCAAACGAGCAGACGGATTGCCTGATGGTAAGCAATCAGCGTCGCCAATGGACATCCGCAACAACAGAGGAGTTACGAGTGTTTTGCCGACATTTTGGGATTTAGGGATTAGGGGAGGGGAAGGATTGGGCCTCAGGCAACCTCAGTCACACGGCGAAACACACTCTGTGGTTATTTCACGCCGGCTTTCTGTGAGGCCGTGGTATCACTCAGGTAGAGCCGACTCATTCGTGCAGCATGGCTCTTTTACACATTGACCATATTTCCCAAGGTATATCGATGGCTTTACGAAAATTCTCAATCCAGCAATAGGATATATCATGATTCATTACATAACTGGTACAAAATGAATAGTCACGTTGGATATGTGTGACTCTGCTATCATTTCAGGTATTAAAAGGCTTTTATATTATAAGTAACATATGTAAGCAAATACATGCTCATGCTTAGAATAAGATAAAAATATAATTTACATTCATCTACAATGTCATATACTATACAAATAAAACTAAAACGCTAAATGTTGGTAAGCACATAACAATATCTGGACAAAATTTGTGAATTCTTTGCTGTTGTGTAAGTTTTGGATCAATTTTGTTATGCCATTTTTTTTTTGTTGTGTTTATCATAAACAGAAGAACTTTCTTATGAAAGAAATTTTTAGAAAAGTACTAAGGTGAGATTGTGACACTTTCGTCTTTAGCAAGGTACTTGTACAACAGCACAAAGCAGGGGCAGGTAGCTAGTTTAAAATAAAATATTAATAAATAATATACATAAAAGCTTCAAAAGAACCAATAAAAAGTTTGGCTTGTTCTTTTTACATATTACCACACTTTAAATCTAGTATCTACATAAGTTCCAACCTAACCTAATTGACTACATGGATGTATACACCGAAAAAACTCTTGGACAGTCTTTTTAAGACCCTAATCGTCGCTAAAGTAAGACATTTGATAACGTAGTTGATCTAGGACCGGCGATTAAGGAGTTAAAAGAGACAGCAACAGTAGATACAATACACGAGAACCCTGCAGGTCTATTTGAAATGGTCTTTGCAATAGAATACCCTGCAAGTTTTAATGAACATATTCTGACAGACGATATGGGTTGGGCTTTATTATAGTCAATAAAAAAACTAACCGATGACCCAATAGCAGCCATAAAGAACATTAGGTTTACCGCAAAAATACTTAAACTGGAACTAAGCCAAAACAAGAATGTAGTAGTGGATTAGGGTCACAGGTCATTAAGAGCCACCTGGGACCAACCCTGCACCGCCTCGTCGCAAGACGTTTACTCGTTGGCGACAGGTAGTCCACTGGTGGACGTGGCTATATCACCAATAAACTTCCCGCGGTCAACCGGTAGACAACAAGCGGTAAACGAAAACGCCGGGTGATCAACGATTGGACGCCACTTGGTCGAAGAATTTTCGAGTGGTATGTTAATAATTGGTACTTGCGAACCGCACTCTACGTGCGGTTCGCAAAGTAAGGAAAGCATTCGAACAGCGAGTTGTCACCGAGTGGTCCATCTACCGTCAGCGCGTGAAGGGCTTAGAACGTTATTTAGTTGATATAGCAAGCGCATGCCCTACTAGACCATATAATAATACTAGCCACAGAAGGCGATTAGGTGCAGAGTTAGTGCAGGGGCTCTAATAACCTTTATCTAACGGAATAAAGACCAAGAAACCCACAAGGTACTCTCGTTAACATCGAATAACAAAATAATATAATAAACGATGAAAGCTAAAACGGAAATAAAAATGTACAAACAGATTAATTTACAAGTACACCTCTGCCTAACGATTCGGGGAAGAACATAAGAGATCCTATTTCCTCAATAAGTTTTAGCGCTTATGTTAAATAATATTACTGTTTACCTACTTGACTTGTGTTAATAACACTAACTGTTGACTTGGTTCAATGTGTATTTGTATTATGACACAAGAACGCATCGGTTCTAACTATATCCGCGAGGATTTCTATTGAATTCTAGGAAATATACAGTATTTCTACTCCCCGAAGTGATAGTCAAAGGTGGACATTATTAAATGTAAACCGACCTTGATCAAGTTGATAGTGGCTCCGTTTAGGACAAAATTCTCAAAATACATTAAAAATTAGCTAGAATTATATTATTCCCATGTTAGCTCACCTCACTAATCTTTTGTTCCAAAAGGGTTTCTTGGTTGACCTGTTAAAACAATCACAGAGACGATGTCATTAACTATAAACTTATTCCTATCTTGATAAAAAATATGGGTGTTTAATCTAAATTTATAGACTATTTTCACTATTTCATAACGAATATAAATTATTATCCAAGCAGTAATAAACTTCTAGGCATGAATAATTAATTAAAAATGTCGCCACTGCTTCGAATTCTCTATTAACTAAGAAATTTGAATGTATAGTATTCTTAGACCTCGAAGAGGCAATTGACACCGTCTCTGTCCCTGTTCCAGTGACAAAACTGGGGAAAGTAAGCGCATATAATACGGCTCAATTACGTGGAATAATATTTCTGGCAGGAAATTTAAAATGTTACAATAGGTTTAATTATATTATCAGTGTTCTAATAGAAATATCATTAGGTGTTCCACAGGGAAGCGTAAGAGGCCCAACCAGAAATAAACTAATGACTTCTGTAACATGAATATGTATACGTTGTTATTTGATGATGTTGTGTTAGTTTTCTCGAGAAAGTTCTGATACCAGGCGTAACACAAGATTATTTCGTATATTGTACAAGTTAAAGTGCAAAATGCGCTAAATATTGTTATTTTTACACGTGAACAAAAATGCAATAATTTTGAACAATTATGTAAAAAAGGATAATGCAAGGGACCATTTACCTTGTGTAATTCGTCCACATACGCCTGCATCGCTTCATCCTTTGTCATGTTCCCAAGTTTGTTCCAGGATTCCCATTTTGCTCTGAAATGTATTTGTAAAAAGCTTTAAAATTATACTTTATAATTAAATCCTTTTTCTAATCTGTACGTCGAATTCAGTAATGTACTGTTATATGATGAATTTTATTGTGTAACTCTGCCACGTGCTGTATACAGACGTTTGTATCCGCTTCGATGTCAGTAAGTTATCATAGAATGTGGGAGAGCGATACCTTGGCTCAAACAGGCCGCCTTGACCTTAGAGATTTTTTGTGGTATAAATCGTCAAACGAGCTGACGAATTACTTGATGGTAAGCAATCAGCGCCGCCCATGGACACACGCAACACCAAAGAAGTTAAGAGTGCGTTACCCGCCTTTTAGGAATAAAAGTTTTGGATATTTAACCGCTAGTTTGCCGGTATATGAGACACAATAGAAAACACATTGTGTCTCGCGTATATCTGCGCTCCGGCATACCACGGGTTAAGGATTGGGATGGGATGGGGGAAGGGGGAGGGATTGGACTTCCGGTTACTTCACTCACATGGCGAAACACAACGCTGTGGTTATTTCACGCCGGTTTTCTGTGAGGCATTGGTATCATTTCGGTCGAGCCGACCAATTCGTGCCGAATCTTGGCTCCCATACACTTGGTATTATCTGACAGAAAACCGCCAAACACAACCGAAGCGATGTGATGTGAAGTGTAGTTATCGGAGGGTTTATCCTCCCTCATCGCGAGCTCTCAAATTCCTAACGCGCTAGCAGCTTCTTTGGTGGAAGGCGCCGATGGCTGATCATCAGTTGTTTACCTCTACTCGTTATGGCTATATCTCACACTAGCTACTCTCACACGGTTTCACCCGCTGCTCGGCTCCATTTGATCGTAGCGTGATATTTTATAGCCTATAGCACATTGTTGCTATCTATCAGCGAAGTGAAGAATTTTGGCAATCCGACCAGCAGTTCCAAAGATTACCCCCAACATACAAACTTACAAATTTTACCTCTTTATAATATTAGTATAGAAAAAATACATGCTTTATGCACTGACCTGTTTACAACATCCCAGAATCCAGGTTTTGGCTTGTCACATGGTCCCTCTGTGGCCTGTTTGAAATAACTGTAGAAACGAAGCATCAACTCATTGCTCGGCTGGTACGACCCTGGAAAGATGGAGATAGGTATTTAAAGAAACATTTCAAACTATGCCCTACGTCTTTAAATATCATTTTTATGTTACTGGCTCTATTTTTATGACTGGAAAATGTGGGAGAGCCAAGATTCGGCACGAATGGGTCGGCTCGACCGGAGTGATACCACGGCCTCACAGAAAACCGGCGTGAAACAACCCACAGTGTTGTGTTTCGCCGTGTGAGTGAGGTTTCCGGAGGCCCAATCCCTTCCCTTCACCTATCCCTTCCCGATCCTTATATTTGCAACCCCTATCCCCAAATCCCCAAAAGGCCGGCAACGCACTCGTAACTCCTTCGGTGTTGCGGGTTTCCATGGGCGGCGCCGATCGCTTACCATCAGGTAATTCGTCTGCTCGTTTGCCGACCTATACCATAAAAAAACTGGGACTTTCTTTTTATTTCAATTAATGAAAGTAACTTTCGAAGCTTAAAATGTTCCAATTTCAAATTACTAATTAAATATAATCATAACTTTACTAACAAAGTGAGTACTATCGTACTATCAATAACAAATTAATAACCCCTTCTTAAAATAAAATAATTAAACTAGTACCTACTTCAATAAACTAAAACATTTATAAATAACACAATTATAAAGACGAATACCTGAATAATTAATAAACAAGTCATTTTTTAATCTGTTCAAAACTGTTTAAGTTAGGCAATAGCACGAAACACAGTTTTTTACTTAAAATCCGAAATCCAACTTAAATAAATCCTTCTGTGAATGCAAGGTTGTTTCTAAAACTAATCATAAAACATACATATTGATGTGGTTCAATGCAACTATTCGTGCGTGTCAAGGTTTCAGTGGCCATTTTGATTTACTAGATCTTTCTGGAACATTCCATGCGTTCTTAATTATTCGTAATGAATAAACCCGCCGAATGGTAGCAGTAGAGTAGAAATCATTGGCAACGATCGTCATTTTTTTTTATTTCTCTTACACTTCTTACAATTACATTCAAGAAGAAAACATTTTTTTTTAAAGAGTAACGATGGAATTTCTTGCTCGTTCTTCTCCATTCGAATTTACAATTTGGAATGAGCACCTAGCTTCATTGACGAGGGGCACCTAGCTTCACTGAGAGTGCCCTAGAGGTCCAGAGCAGATTGGAGGTGTGGTGGCATAGACTGGAGAGTGTTGGCCTAAAATTGAGCAGAACTAAAACAGAGTACTTGTTCTGCGATTTTGGCGGTCTCTCTAGTTCTGTGCCCATAGCTCTCGCCGGAACGCCCATACCAACCTGTTCTGATTTTCGGTACCTTGGCTCGCTTATCCAAGGAAATGGTGAGATAGACCGAGACGTGGCACATCGGATCAACTCAGGATGGATGAAATGGCGACAGGTCACTGGAACAACTTGCGACCCACGGATGCCCCTCAGGTTGAAGGGTAAAATCTACAAGTCAGTGATAAGGCCTGTCCTACCGTATGGGTCAGAATGTTGGGCTCTGAAAAAGACGGATGAAAAGCGATTGCATGTAGCAGAGATGGATGTGTGGTGTGACGAGAATGGATAAAGTGAGAAATGAGTATATTAGAGGAAGTTTGAAAGTGGCGCCAGTGACTGAAAAGTTGAAAGGGAACCGTTTGTCTTGGTATGGCCATGTGAAAAGGAGGGATGAAAAGCATGTAACAAAAAGAGTCATGAGTATAAATGTGGATGGATGGAGAGGGAGGGGGAGACCAAAGAAAATATGGATGGATTGTGTGAGAAGTGATATGGAAGACAGAGGAGTTAGCGATAGCGTGACGAGTGACAGGACAGAATGGAAGAAAAAAAAACATATTGCGCCGACCCCAAATAAAACGGGACAAGGGCAGGAAGATGATGACCTAGCTTCACTGACGAACAGACTGACAGACTACTTCTCTATTTTGACGTTTCAAAAGTATATTATTCGTGGTTTAGTTGGAATAAATGATTTTGACTTTGAATTTGACTTTGAGGGCCTAGATTTGACGGGGTCAGAGTAGCAGAAATGTTCTTTCGATGGCGGTATTTCTGAACCGAAACGACCTTCAAACCTTCAAACAAGAAACGTGCATACTCCTTTTGAAAAGCCGGCAACGCGCCTTTGACTCCTAACGGTCCTACCAGTGTTGTCGGGTGTCTATGGGTGGCGCTGACCACTTACCATCAGGTAATCCGTCAGCTCATTCTCTCACATTATATTATTTTTCCATTGTCCTGACTTGAAAAGAGACTGACCTCTAAGTTTGTTTCGCCATTTCTTTTCCAATTATTCAGATACGAAATGTCAGCTTCATCAAGTTTTTTACATATAAGTGGTGGAGATCCATGCTTCGGCACGAATGGGTCGGCTCGACCGGAGTGATACCACGGCCTCACAGAAAAACGGCGTGAAACAACCACAGCGTTGTGTTTCGCCGTGTGAGTGAGGTTACCGGAGGCCCAATCCTTCCCCTCCCTCAATCCCTAAAAGGTCGGCAACGCACTCCTAACTCCTCCGTTGCGAGTGTCCATGGGCGGCGCTGATTGCTTACCATCAGGTAATCCGTCTGCTCGTTTGCCGACCGATTACATAAAATATATATATATATATAATTTGACGTGTGAAGTGCCTATTTGCAAAAAAATATTCATTGTTTCATTTGTCTCCTATTCCATAAAAAAGCAGGGTTGTCTGATAAACTTGCACCATTTCAACGGTGGTAAAGCACCGTTGAAATACGCACATATGTAGTTGCAAACCTCCTTCAAATTGGATCGATCAACGGCTTATAAATATTATGAGGCTTATAATATTGCATTAAAGTTTGTTTTGGTCAACCATATCAATCCAACACCAACTATGCAAGTATGATAAAGGCATGTATTCGTCGGAAATTTTATGATAACATAGTGCTACATTAAATATCAACCTTATCAACAGGATTTGCAATACATTTTACTTTATCAGTGCTATTCTTTGTTTCAACTGGAGTTTGAACTCTTGACCTCATTCTGTTTATGTCTACAAATAATGTAGATAGGTATAAAATAATATTTATGTATCATTTTATGTGTACAAAACATATACAATGTATAGAGGTAATATTTTTAATTTGTAAGTTTGTATGTAGGGGATTACCCCCTTGGAACCCGCTGGTCGGTTTTCGAAAATTCTTTCACTGATAGATAGCTAGAGCTACAATGTTCCTGAGTGCTATAGTTTTAAATTTCACACTACCTATATTGACGAAACCGTAGAAAAATGTTGCAAGTGTCCATGCGCGGCGCTGATCGCTTACCATCAGGTGATCCGTCTGCTCGTTTGCCTCCTATTCCATAAAAAAAACTTCACAAGATACACTCTTATAATTATCCTGAGTAATCAATATTGCTTTTACTTATTCAAATTGTCAGTTGATTTATTTCTTAAAATGTCTTGTCTCAGACCTGTACCGGCCGCACGCCTGTCTTAACCTTAAAATGCCTGTCAAATGCGGCAAATGCCTGTCATATGGTAACCCTACCCCCATTCCATCCCCAATCCCCAAATCTCTCTATGCTCAATACCTAAACCCCAAAAGGTCTTGTAGTGGAACATATAGGTACTCCGAATTCTGTACTACGCCTAATGATGGTTTAAAAATAATAATAATAACAATGATTATGTCGCTAGATAATTCGGCTAGAGTAAGCGACGGGTAAAAGTTTCGTTAGGTTACTGCGAACGTTTTATAGAAGCGAGGTTACTTTCAACGTCACAATTTTTCGGTGAACGGACGAAATGTGTCAATTCGGATAGACGCTAGTTGCGATATGAAGTTATAGAGAACTGCAGTCTCCACGTGTGGTAATGTAGTATATGTATGGCAAAGAAATATTGGTAACATTATTTATTCCGACACTCTTTTTTGTGAAGGGAAAACCATGAAATGACTTCTAGTAGTATCAGGCTCTTCCCTAAACACGCCACCACTCACAAACGGTAAAGGATAACATAGTGAGGAAACATGAACTTAAAATTTCTAATTAAAAGTTTGCGTAAATCCTTTTCCGTATGCCGTGTGAAAAGAGGCCTTTGCTCAGCAGTGGACAATTAAATTCTGGTGATATATGTGTCTATAATATTTTAAGAGTTTAAACTAAGATAGCCATCAGAAATAAAAGCATCAAATACAAAAACCTTTTTTTCAAATCTCATTGGTAGTTCAGCACAGCAAAAAAAGCATTTCTATGCAATATCTTTCTCTTGTTTTCGATTCCGTTCGACTCATAATGATCATGTAAGGGAGATTTAAATTACATGTATCACTCGTCAGAAGTCACTTGTGTGTCTTAAATAATAGGTCTTTACCTATGAAATTGCCGTTTTGCATGAAAATATTTAAACGAATTTTTTGGTTTGAAATGCGATGAAAATGTAACACTAATCAAAAAACAAATGACTACTTTTGGAAAAAGAATCCCATGTTTTTAAAACAAAATTAATTTGAAATTAGAATTCTTAGCGTAAAGACCTATTAAAAAGGATCTCAAGGTCATTTCTGAATCGAGCTAGAAGAAAGTCCCTCACGTCTCTTAGATATCAAAGCCAAGAAAAAAGAAACTAGAGTTTATTCCTCTAATGTGCAAGAATACTACCAAAACGAAAATATCAATCAAACATTTGAAATTAGTCTAAAAATAGTTACAACCGCAACTTAGAGTGAAACAGTTAATAGCATCAACTAATTGAAACTGGTTCTCACGCATCACGCAATAACATCAGTTACTGGTCCTACTAGGTGGGAAGACCTTGAACTGATCGTGTTTACCAACAAAATTACTGTTCAAATTGATTCTGACTTGAATACTTTATTGGAATAGTGTTTCGATCAGACCACGGCCTCACAGAAAACCGACGTGAAGTAACCACAGCGTTGCGTTTCGCCGTGTGAGTGAGGCCCCAATCCCTCCTTAATCCCTAGATCTCCAAATCCCTGATCCCTAAAAGGTCGGCAACGCACTCGTAAC